TATATATATATATATATGTGTGTGTGTGTGTGTGCGTGTGTGTGTGTGTGTGCGTGTGTGTGTGTGTGTGCGTGTGTGTGTGTGTGTGCGTGTGTGTGTGTGTGTGCGTGTGTGTGTGTGTGTGCGTGTGTGTGTGCTTCTATTCTATCCTTCTATTTTGTATTCATTTAATTTTCTAATTTAATTAAGATTTTTCTCCTTTAATTTTTTTCTACAAAAATTATATTAAATATTTTATATATTACAAATGCCTAATTCATTTTGGCATTACTTTTTTAAATTAAAAGTCCAATAACCTTATTTTAAGATGCAAATGGGATTTTGTATCCCAAAAGCTGATACACCAGTGTACACACCTGAGTCAATATCCAGAATAACTGCTGATGCATTCCACACGTCATCATCATCATCGTCACCTCCCTTCATCACTCACTCAAATATAATATAATATTATCCTTCAAGTCCAAAACATAAACCAGCTCTCTGTTGACACCGTTTGAACTGCCACGCAAATCTGTATCTTTCGGTTTTCCTTCTTAGCTTCACATTCAAGAACAATTAATTCAAGAACACAGCTCACTTTTGCACTCATTATATTGTAAGTCGGTCCACGTACACAACAAAACATATCAAAGCACCAACCTTGGCTGGTTAACCAGCTCAGCAAGACTTCCACTTTGACAGAGCTTGTGTCCCTTTAGGAAAATGTTTCCTCCTTATATCATTCTCTTCAAAAAAATGCTTTAAAAGAGTCACTGAAGCTGTCTGCTGTTTTTATCTATGTTGCCCTACTTAAGTTGCTTAGTAAATGCCAGACTATGGCAATCCCCTGTGACTATCGCCCGTCTCTGTTCCTCTCTCCCTGATCTTAAACTTGGAGAAGCTGTTTTCTGAGATGCTCTGCAAGACAACTTGTTTACACCAAAAGCCCTCACTGCTGTTTATACGGCCCGGCTGCACTGCTCAAAATCCAGCAGACATGCGTCTGGCTGTACAAGCGCTTGATAGACTGAAGATAACTGCGTTTCTTGTATAGTCAAAGGGGAGGGGGTGCATGGCCTCAATTCTATTTATACAACACTGTAAACAGCAGCCTGGCAGCCATTCCTGGGCTTCGCATCGCAAGCACACTTAGTGAACTTCCATGTGCTTGAAGGTGCATGTTTAGGATCTGTGGTCATGTGATTGTAGGTACTGAAGCTCAAATATGAATCTTAAGAATATGATTTGGAATGCAGATATGACACTTCCTGAACTGTTTAGTGTTTGAAAAACATATCTAAAATAACATAATGTAAAACTGAACTCCCTGTTGTGGTCCTCATCACATGCAATGACAGCTATTATAAATAAATAAAGCTACACTGCAGGAAAACCATTGTACAATAGCAATATTCCCCATGTTCCATATATATCCATGCAAACGGGCCATCATAAAGGGCAAACGCTGGCAATAGGAAATTAAATCCACACTCCTGCCACCCAAGTGGTGTGCAGTGATGTAAGTGCGCGCTCTACTTACCATGCCCTTGACCATTATCATAGAACTCAGCTGAAATCCGGGCAGCCTCCTTGCGGTTGCCTTTGATGATGTAGAAGTGCGCGAGTAGATTAAGGGTAATTCTAATGAAAAGTTTGAAGCAGAAGAGGGACAGGATGGTGAGGTAAACATTGGACAGCTGTGCTGCGAATGGCCTGTATTCCTCAGTGGTCTCTCTCATGGCTGTGTTAAGAATGTTTTGTGGCAGGATAAGCAGAGTGCACTGCTGTAAGCCACCCAAACAGCACCCCCCATGCACTTGGGTCCTTACTGCAGCTCAAGTAAGAATTGGATATCATTTGTTTGTTTTAAAATTCTGTATTGTTTTACACCTGTATGCTGTATTTCGTTTCCATGGAATGATAAAGACAAACAATTGTAGATTACATCTGCCAGTCTCCATTAAAGCCTATACAAGTAGTCCATACAGTATGACTAGTGTAAATAATTATAGCACAGTTGACTGTAATATATACATACATGTGTGTTTATGTTTTTTTTTAAAGACCTGTCTTATGTTTACCAAGTCTGCATTTATATGATCAAAAATACAGTAAAAACAGTTGGCTGAGCTTGTTCAGTAGTACTGCCCTTTAAAATAACTGTTTTCTATTTGAATATATTTTAAAATGTAATTTATTCTTGTGATGGCAATGCTGAATTTTCAGCAGCCATTACTTCAGTCTTTTCTTATTTTTATTTTTTTAAGCTTAGAACAGCATTTGTTTGAAACAGAAATATTTTACTGTCACTTCTGAACAATTTAAAGGCAGGGTATGTGATTTTTCAAAAACACTTTAGAAAACTGTTTTTGGCATCCCTGCCGTACAAAATAATTATTTTCTGTTCAAAATAACTTTTAAATGGTAGTAGTGTAGGCTATATTAAAATGAACATGCATCCCTACATTCAGTGAAAAATATAAAAAATAGATGTGATTTAGTTAATTTAGGCTACAATATGATGTTGGGTAACAGGATGATGACATTTGCATGGCCAAAGTTCTGGAGTACTTTTTACCTGTGCCAGGGCCATCGTCAGGGGGGACGACTCACAACATTGTCCTCTGATGGACCTTCTCACTGGGGCCAGTAAAGGGGGTTTTCACCTGTACACAAACAGGCAGTTGAATTCAATATAATACAAAATACTGAACCCTTTTCATGTTTATTTTATCCAAATGAATAGCCTACAAAAAGTAGTACTGACTGAAATGATGCGCAGCAACTTAAGAAGTAAAGTAATACATCTGTCTACACTTGACTGAGTAAATTCACTGAAGATATGAGGAAGGTTCTAAAGATATATAGCCTGTGTAGTAGCCCGTGTAATTTTATAAACATTACCCAGAATATAAGAAATCTTTTGGTTTATTCAACCAGTTTATTCAGGGAAAACAGGCTATTTTCACTGAGCAAAAACTCGTTATTCAATGGAATCGTTTGCATAATATTGTCCTAAAAATATATTCACATGAATGTACTTAAATTATAAAATCATCACAATTAAAAAAAGTTTATATGAAGGTACAGTAAAAAAGGTTATATACCCTTATAAGCAGTATAGACAAGTTTTAGCAACTTAGTTTCAACACCGTGACGACTTCCGACGCGTCGACGGCGCATGCGCAGATTTGAATCGTCAGGCGGGTCTTTCTACTCCATATTCGCGTAACGTACAACATTAGCGATCTTTTTGATTTGCTTGTAGTTTGCTCATATACGGACTGTTAAATACAAGGCGCAATGGTCGTTAGTTTCAACACCGTGACGACTTCCGACCGCTTCCGACGCGTCGACGGCGCATGCGCAGATTTGAATCGTCAGGCGGGTCTTTCTACTCCATATTCGCGTAACGTACAACATTAGCGATCTTTTTGATTTGCTTGTAGTTTGCTCATATACGGACTGTTAAATACAAGGCGCAATGGTCGAGGGTCCGGGATGCACTTTAAATGGAGAAAAGATTCGTGCAAGAGTTCAAAAAGGACAAAAAGTTTTAGACATACGAAATGAAACCAACAAATCAGTAAGTGCATGACAGCGCACCTGATGATATAGCAGTCCTCCGCAAATGACATGCATACGAATGTTTACTTGTTTTATTTCCTTTTCAGTCAGATGACAGTACCAGCAGCTCTTTCCAGTGCTTTATGGGCTGTGAGTTTACAGGGGTGGAGACACTGGGGAAAGAGCTTTTCGTGTATTTTGGCTTCAGAGCTCTGAGGTTTGTTGAAAAAAATTAATTAAATAAGGGTAGATTGATACATGCAATTTTTGCTTTCTATTATAAATGATCATTTTATGTAGTGATTTGATTTGTTAGAAGTTGTGGACCAAATATAAGTTTCTTTCCTCATGAAGGCAGATTTAAATTTTCTGGCTTGCTTCCCAGGACCCTTTTTAGATTTGAAAAGCACCGAAGTCATGAAATTATGTTCTGATTTATGGTTACATTACGTTGCTGACTGTAATTACAGTATTTTTGGATATCTTAAAGGGCAACTGAGCGTATAGGAAATAATTGAATTTAATGTTAAATTGATGTCATTACGATTTGTAAGGTTGCAAATGTAAAATATTTACACATTTACAAATGTGAATTTCAGAACATAAATATACACTACCTTTCAAAAGTTTGGGATCAGTAAGATTTTTTATATTTTTTAACCGACGTTTCTTGTGCTCATCAAGGCTGTATTTATTTGATCAAAAATATAGAAAAAATCCTGTTATTTTGTGAAATATTATTGCAATTTAAAATAACAATTTCTATTTTAATATACTTTAAAAATATAATTTATTCCTGTGATGCAAAGCTGAACTTTCAGCATCATTACTCCAGTCTTCAGTGTTGCATGATCCTTCAGAAATCATTCTAATATGCTGATTTATTGTCAGTGCTGGAATGAAACAGTTGAGCTGCTTCATGTTTTTTGGAACCTGTGATACTTTTTTCAGGATTCTTTATGAATATAAAATTGGAGAAAAAAAACCCAGCATTTATTCAAAATGGAAATCTTGTGTTACAATATACACTACCGTTCAAAAGTTTGGAGTCAGTAAATTGTTTTCTTTCTTTTCTTTTTTTTGAAAGTAACGAGTACTTTTATTCAGCAAGGATGTGTTAAATGGATAAAAAGTGATAGTAAAGACTCATATTGTTAGAAAATACTTTAGTTTTAAATAAATGCTGTTATCAGCATATTAGAATGATTTCTGAAGGATCATGTGACACTGAAGACTGGAGTAATGATGCTGAAAATTCAGCTTTGATCACAGCAATCAATTATATTTTAAAGTATATTAAAACAGAAAACCAATATTAGAAATTGAAATATCTCACAATATTAGTTTTTTCTGTATTTTGATCAAATAAATACAGCCTTGATGAGCACAAGAGACTCAATTAAAAAACATTAAAAAATCTTACTGATCCCAAACTTTTGAACGGCAGTGTGTGTGTGTGTAATATATGGAATATTTCAGCTATGTTGTGCTTTAAAATATTTAATGGGCCAGATATTGTTCATTGTGAGTGCTGGAATAGAGTTTGCTCTCTAGCAAGCCAGCATGATTAGTCTGTGTGATTGATAAAGTGGCAAATGTTACTAGCTAATATCTTTTCAAAGTGGTGGGCTCAAAGTGGTGTTTAAATCTATAAATGATTGGTACTTGACATACAAATGAAAATCTAGCACAGATATCGCTGAAAATCCTTATCCAGTAATCACAAATGATTGAAAAGGTCATAAAAAAAATTCATTGGTATAAAAAGAGTGAAATCGTTTTAACTGTACTTTAAATGTGTTTTGATTTAGATTGCACTTCGGCATGAATGGTTCCTTGAGGATAAATCCCCTGGAGAAGGACTTGAAAGGAAAACCCCCAGTGTTGGTTATTCAACTTACCAATGATGCTGTGTGTTTCTTTGACACAACTGTAGAAATCAGGTAACACTTCCTTCTAAGCGCTCGGATAATAGTTATATATAACTTCCATTTCATTCCTAAGTATTCTAGGATAAGTATTAAATTGAATCCCAGATTAGATAGCATCTTCATCGAAAGTCCTTCCGAGTCAAGCACTTTATCCTAATGTACATCTGAGAGGTCAGCTCATCAAGTGCAGGTCTTAAGTAGGCAACTTCCCTGTCGCAGAAACATTCGCTATGCCGGATTAAATTCCAGACTATCATAACTCAGCGTGATCCAGACAGCCCGACTCTTTACATTTTTACACTGAGCCTTCAAAGATTCTGACTCCTCAGGGAATAATAATTCTGTTTACTTCCCCTAGACTCTCAGAGGACTGTGTGCAGAGAGTAAGAGCCATGGAGGCTCTCGATATCTGTTCACCCAAGTTTAGTTTCTCTCAGGCGGTGGAAGCTGTAAAGAGAGAGAGTGAGAGAATGCTCTGTGATGCTCTGTTGGATCAGGCCGTCTTACCTGGTGTAGGAAACATAATTAAAAACGAAGCGCTCTTTGACAGTGGCCTTAACCCGGCTGTCAAGGTACAATTTGCTTTGTTCAGTACCAACACAAAAAAGTCAATATCTCTGTCGCATGGTACAGTTGAATGGATGTTTTACACCTTGTTTAAAATATTTTTAGAGTGTTGTTTTTCAATTAATTCTTCTGTGCTTTTAAAGGTCAGGCAGTTGACAAGCGAACAAGTTCACCATCTTGTGAAGATGACACGAGATTTCACACTCCTATTTTATAAGGTATTTTATACTTGCATTTTTCTAGACAATAAACTTGCGATTTTACTTTTTCTGTCAGATCTGAAGCCAATTTTTACTTTTCAAATCAGTGTAGAAAGAATGGATCCCCACTTTACAAGCATTACAAGGTGTATAAACGTCCAAACTGTGGCCAGTGCAGTGGAACTGTCACTGTCTGTCGACTGGGAGACAACGGTAGGATGACATACTACTGTCAGCGCTGTCAAACAGGTGATCCAAGTGAAGTAAACATTAGGTGAGCTGCACCTCCTCTCGTAGCTACTAATTCGCATACACACATTTATACACAAAAATCCAATCTAGTTACTGACTTTTCAATTTGACAGTAAACTCCCAACTCGTAATAGTCTGATTGGATGGGCTTATCAAGGAAGAACGAGCAGCAATGATCATGTGGCAAAACAAGAGGAGGAAGAGTGGGCATGTTCCCTTTGCACTTTAATCAATCGACCAATTAACAAGTATTGTGACGCTTGTATGAGCCCTAGACCGGAAGGTAAGTTTCGGACATGTATTAGTG